GAATAATTAAATTTAATGAGACCAATAACAGTTTTTTATAGCTTCCTTTCATTTGTGTAAAAAAAAAAAAAAAAACAGCCGCATTTTTTAAAAACAAATAGTAATATTTATATTAAGGGAATGAGAAAATAATCTAAGTCTTACAATGAGCTTATTATACTAATGTGATTCAATTTCTCTATTGACAAGAATCGAACTTAAAATAAAAAATAATCCTATTAGACCGCATTTTCTTAGTATCAAAGGAGGAATGTGTTTTGTTTAATAGAATTATTATTATTTTTTTTTGTTGGGTCAAGGACATTTTACAACATGACAATAAGTGTCAACTTGATTCCACGTCTTACAAAAAACGTAATGGTAGATTATGGAAAGAGATCATTTCCGAATCTCTTCCATCAAGGTCGTCGAATCAAGTGATTCGAGCTTTTTCAAATTTCATCTAACAGTAAAAAATTATTACACTTTTAAGGGGTCAAAACAAGTGGGTCATTAGATGAAATTTAGAAGGCCTGGATCATTTGATCCAATGACCTTAGTGGAAGAGATCCGGAGAGATCTCTTTCCTTAGATTATAATGGTAAGAATTTATTGTATAGTTAAACAATGATGAATAGGTTGCAAATGTTAGATTGTCATATTGGATAAGCATTCAACTCAATGTAGGTCTGGCAAATGGGTCGTGTCATGTCACATTTTTTATCTTAACGGGTTTATAATAGGTCGGGTCATGTTAAGAAAAAAAAAATTCTAAATTTCTACATACTGTATTGTCACATAAATATTACCTTGAAAACTAATTTGAAACAAAAAACCTCAATTGAAGAAACAAAACCAATCTTAATTCCAAAACTAATTTGAAGTAAAACCCTATATTTTGAATGTAATTCAAAATATCAACAATTACCTCCATTAGGGCTCGAGATTCGCTCAATCCAGATAGATAAAAGTAGTAAGTCGACTGGTGATGGGTTACTAGGTCGTATGTGGTGTGGTGTGGTGGGAGGGACTGGAGAAGGTGATCGTGGAGGTTGGCAGGAGTGGAGCTTCAAGACTAAGATTCAAGCGTTCAGTTTGGGAGAAAAAGAGAGTGGCTGCTTCGATTCGAGCCTTCGAGAATGAGAGAGAGCCTGATCTAGGGTTGATAAAAACATTGGACAAGCAAGATTAAATCTCAACTAATCCAATGGGCATCAATTTTCTAAATTTTAGTTAAAATATATATATTTATATTTTAACTTTCAGTTCAGTTTAGGATTAAATTTTACTGTTTTTAATTATAGTATTTCTTTTAGTGGTATCAAATTATAAAATTAATATTTTTCTTATCATGTAACGAGTTATCTACGTGTATACCTGGACCGAATTGTTATCTTAACATGTGCTTATTGGGTTACTGATTCGCTATCGTGTTGACCCAAAAACTTGTTAATTTTGTATCATGCTGTCTCGAGTTATCAAGTAGTGTCAGAAGTTGTCAAACCTAATGCAATGTATCTCGAGTTAATACTATCTTTTCACTTAATGTAACTTAGAATAATAATATTACTTGTAATAAAAAAAATAATGATGACAAAGGTTTCATAAAACAAGATGACGTATATTATAGACTAACTTTGATTATTACATTGTGAACATCCTAAATATTATGTATAGACGTAATCCCGTTAGATAATTACTATTCAAATAAAATATAGAAAAGTTTAATAAAATAGTAATGTCAATCTACAAAAATTTTACTATGTGAATGTAATGCATGAGCAAGCATTTGTTCATTAATTATACTTGATGGATAATTATTTATTAGGAAAATTAATGAAAAGGATTTGAAAACTTTGAGTTTTAACGATAAGAATAAAATAAAAAGTAAAGTGAATAGTATCAGGATTGACTTTTTAGTATAAAAATATAGTTTTTCGTTAAAATAAACAATACCGGAAATTTTTCGTTAAAATTCTCTTATTTATATCAAGTCAATCCATTTCAACTTGTGATTGAGTGGTGCAATGCGAAATGACTTTTGTATAAAGAAGTGTCAAGGAGAAAAGAAAATGGCATCACTAACTCATTCTAGACGCATATGAGTGTCCGTTAGGGCATGAGATCGGTACTTTGGTGGGTCACAACTGATATATGCATTATTTATTATATTTTCATGTTAATAATCTCTAAATTTGTTAAAGAATTGATTGCAAAAAAACCTTATTATTTTTATTTTCTCAGTTTTAGCCAATATGTGCACTTAGAACGTTTTTTGTGATAATTTGATTTTTTGGAGGAGTTTTGATGCAAGGCCAATTGGAGAAGGAAGCTAAGAGGCTAAAGATCGTTGTGTCCGAATTTCATAATTTTCCATGGAGCCATTCATTCCAGTTTTACAAATCAATTCCGTATAAGTTGTTTTCCAGTCATAATTGCCCAGCTGTAGGAGAATGAAGATTTGGAGACTTTCCCGATTTTTCCTAGTGGCGTGCGATATATGCTTGGAAAGATAAGAGATAAAGTTACGTTTCCCATATTTTTACAGAATTTTTCAGAAGATAAATCGACTCCAAAACTGGCGTGCAAGATAGATGAATTGTTTCCCAAGCCAAAAATGATTATTTCCTAGTTTGTGTCATTAATTGTTTAGGAGTTTGTTTTATTTTAGGAGAGTTTCTCCCAGACTTTTTAGGGTTTTTGTAGTATAAATAAGTGCCCTAAGCTCACCCCGCATAACCCATATCACCCACACCATATTATCATTCACCATCTCTGCAATTCGTGAAGAGCTTAGGGAAGTGCTTTGCCATGGATTCCGGGTTCTATCTTTTTTTTTAATTTTTATTTCTATATGTAATTAAGTTAATTTTTGAGAAGTACTTTGTTAATTATTATCTGATTATATGCCATGTTATATTCTTAATCTTTGTGAGTATTTTATTCTAGGTTCAAGTTTCTAATGACTGATCACTTTTAGGAATTTTGCATCTAGATATTTAGATAAATCTATGAGGATGACCAATCAATTAGGTTTATTGGAACTAAGATTAAGAAGAGTAGACAAACTAGTGAGGATGACCAATATCAAGGTAGTACTACTTGGTTGACATGATTCTTCTACGCTTAATGGGTTTTTATGTGTTTAATTGTATGCCTAACCAATATGATATAATTATCATATAGAGATAAAAGAGTTGATGCATGACCACGGATTAATTCATACCTTAGAAAGAACAACTTTTAACATTGACATGGTAATTAGATAGTAGTTGACTCTAGGAAAAGTAAATAGGATTATTGTTGGTGGTTCATAACCTTAGATTTCCATTGTTTCTCAATTTTGTTTTGTGTCGTGTGTGATTTTAATTAATTGTGTTTTCCTTTTCTTGTTAATTTAAGTCTTAATCAATTACTCAATTATTCAATTTAATCTACCAGTTGTTTGTTTAATTAAGTCTAGCGTGATTAATCGATTAAATTGGTGTTAAAGCAATTCATGTGGGATCGACCTTGTATTTGCATATTTTACTAAAATTGATTCGTGCGCTTGCGAGTTTATTTGGTTTAAATTAATTTATTATTTATATTAGTTTAAATACACATCAACAAGCATGTGACAAACTAAATTGAATTAGGAAAGCGATTCTCTCTGGATCTCTTTCACGTAATTATTCTCATTAAACAATTTAAGCTCTTGAAATTTGATTAAACGACTAAAATCATGGGTTCACTTTAAAAATTATAATAACTTTAGTCATTGAATCAAATTTTAAAAATCTAAATTGTTTGATGAAGATAATTAGATGGAAGTGATTGAGAAGAATCCCTTTTCATTGAATTAAAACAATATACATTGCATGATAAGACTAATATTCTTTATTTATTATTTTAATTTTAATTTGATCTTGATTAAGATTGTGATGGATAATGGTGTTGGCGTTGGGCCGCAGGGGAAGGGGACAACGAGCAGAAGTGCGAATATTAAATGAGTGGACAGATTGCAATCAAGCTCCAGTAGTAATCAAGAAAAAAAGTAGCAAAAGGGTACAGTAGACTGAGAAAGCTAGACCTAGTAGTGATTCCAATTTCCCGTCTATAATTTTATTTTTGTGGTAATATTTTCATCCGTGTGGGTTCGTACATACATATATATACACACACACACTCAATTAGCCATTAGGTGTCCCGTTTGGCTCTTCCCTCGATTTGATCGATCGTTGGGTCTCTCTATCTCTCATAATTCTTTGCCAGTAATGGCAGGGCATCAGTGGCGGTGCAAGAAAAGAGGGTGAGAGTTTTCATCGGGAAGGTAAAGCTTTTGCATCACACGACACACAGAGTGTGACAGAGTGAAGTTCTCCCCCCTTCACTCACTCACTCTCCCCTCCTCTCTCTACAATATTTTTATTAATTATTATAAGGAGTATTATTATTATTATTATTCGGATTCACACAATATCATCAATAACCACGAGTTTTGTTTACCCTAAAAAGAAAAACAACCAGCTGAGTCTTTGTGCACCACCACCGCCCTTCCTTTGCTTCCTGCTGCTAGCCCTTTACATGAGAGAGAGAGAGAGAGAGAGAGAGGGACAGAGAGTACTGTATCTTTTCTGTATGTGTGTGAGAGGATAGAATGCATGTCTGAAGAAAGCGAGAGATAAAACAAGAATTTTGCGAAGGAAATCTGAGGCAGGGTTTTGGCAGACCCAGTAATTGGAGAAAAAACACTTAACATTATTAACTACTGACCCACTATACTCCTCCACTATCACTCTCACTCGCTACTTAGGATTTTCCTGTTAAAGCCTGCTCAAAGTATCGTAGCATAAAACCCGGGAGAGCCCTCGCTTCCCTTGGAGGAGAGAGATCGATCAGGATCAGACCCACATATATATATGTATAATATTATTGGGTAGGAGAGAGAAAAACAAAAACCTTAACCTAGAGAGAGAAGTGATTTGTAGCAAAGCCAAGTGAACAAAACAAAACAACTAGTACAAGAGGACTAGGTAAGAAAGTTAATTTGTGAAGGATAAGATATACCAAGAGATCGAGAGAGAGAGAGAGAGAGAGAGAGAGAATGGAAGGTGTTGGTGCCAATGGCACCTGTAGTATGATGGCCTTTGGAGAAAACAGCAGTAATGGAGGAGGAATGTGTCCAATGATGATGATGCCTCTAATGACTTCCTCACATCATGCTCATCACTCTCATCATCACCTTCATCAACATCATATGAATCTTAATCCTAATGCAGACACACATAATACTAGTACGACTCATCAGTTTCGCCAGCTTCCCCAGCTGCCTCCGTCCAACAACCATCACGACCACCAAAATCCCCATAACACTAGCGGCGGCTCCTCCTTCCTTCTCCACAACCCAGTTGCAGCTGCCGCCTCCTATTTCATGGACAACAACAACAATGATGGTGTTGGCGGTAGCTCTTCTTCTTCGCCTTCAACTGTCAAGGCTAAGATCATGGCTCATCCTCACTATCACCGCCTCTTGGCCTCCTATATCAACTGTCAAAAGGTGAAATTGAAACCATCTAATTAAAAAAATATATATATATATATATGTGTGTGTGTGTGTGTGTGTATTTTGACCTCCCAATTAGGTTTTCAATTCCTACAAACGTAGGAGTTAGGACCACAACTCTCCATTGTTTGTCCTCCTCTTTTTTTGTGTTAGATAAAAAGGGAAAATTTAGTTGACATGCGCCCGAAGGGGATAGATAATTCATGTTTCCCGTCTCGTTTCTTTGGGAAGTTTGGATCTGAATATCTACAACATTCATGTTCTCATTGTAATTATGAAGGTTTGTCTTAAAGTAATGTGGACGGCGATATCAGTTCCGTAGGTAGGACGCTGTAGGACTCAGAACGCCCATCCTCATGGAAAGATTTGGTATTATGAAGTTGTTCATCCAGTACTGCTACTACCAAGTTGTTCTTGTCATGCTTTATTGAGTTAATTAGGTTTAACAAGGAACTTTAAGTAATTATGTTGTTGATAAAGACGGTCCAAGTCTCTTCGACTTTTGAGTTTTGATCATTTTTAAATATATATTTGGGGTCAATAGATGAGGCCCTTTTCATCATCATCATTTAAAAGTGTTTGAATAATACTATTCAATTGAAAACGATTATGTGCAGGTTGGAGCGCCGCCTGAAGTGGTGGCGAGACTGGAAGAAGCGTGCGCATCGGCGGCGACTATAGGTCAAATGGTAAGTAGTAGCAGTGAATCAGGATCTCTCGGTGAAGATCCAGCTCTGGATCAGTTCATGGAGGCCTACTGCGAGATGCTTACCAAGTATGAGCAAGAAATCTCTAAACCCTTCAAGGAAGCCATGATCTTCATCCAAAGAATCGAGTCCCAATTCAAAGCGCTCTCTCTTTCTTCTTATGATTCTGCAGGTTCGTATCTCACCATTATCTCTGTGTGTGTATGTATATACATCTGTATATCTTCACCGTTTCTTTTTCTCGAACTTTTTGTATGTATAGGAAGATCTTTTGAGTATTTTCTTTATTTTTTATTATCTGAAATTTTTAATGCAATATAATAACTGGCCATGCATGGATGTCGTTTCCAAGATCCTGTAGGTTTATTTTATTAATTAACAATTATGTTCAGAAAGCGGGTGGCCAATTAGTTTTCTTTGTTCTTATTTTTCAAACCCTTCCATTTCATCGCTTAATTGGTTCCTTCTATAATTTATTTAATCATGTGTCTGCTGTTCTTTGGCATGTATAGAACTGTTTTAGTACTGGGTAGTAGTACTAGCAAGCTAGGTTTCCACTCGCAAGTCATTTTTTTTCAAATTTTAGTATTATAAAAGGGAGGAAGAGAGATTGAAACTATTACAATAATTTTAGGGGGGAGGGGGGAGTGTTTTCGAATCCGGGACGTATAGGTAGAAACTCAATACCACATGCAAATATACAAATCGATGGTGTTACATAGAATTGTATGGCTTTGATTCTCTTCTCGGTGTTTGGGTTTTGAATGAGATTGTTTGGTTTCATTTGAATTCTTCACCTTGTTTTACCTAATTGAATTTGACGCGCTGCTTGCATCTTTAGAAATATAAGACAACTGGGTTAGCTTGCGTTTTCCCCCATGTCTTGCATATACATAGCAATGCTCAAAGTAATTTCTGTTTCATAATTATTAGAGTTTTCTTACACCCTAGTGACCAATTTGTGTGGACAACATAATATTTGTAATGACTTTTATACTCTTGGAATATTAGTTAAATTAGTTTTTGTATGGTAGTCTGCCTTGTTCTATGGTTATTTCGATATATAGACCCGAGCTCTAGAAATCGTTGATGTTTTTATGTCTTTCTTAAATATTGTACATTTTGAGCTTTAGATACAATATTTTCTGCACATGCTTATTTTTTTGTAACACGAGTCTTCATGTAAAGACTAGCAATAGCTATAAGTTGATCATGTGGTATCCTGGATTTTTACATATACACAGAATATCTGCCATCGATGACCAGTGACGTGAGACTAGCTTTTCACACATTTAATTAGTTCTCAAACCCTACGTAGCTGTAGTGGACTCGTGGTGTCCTAGTACTATGATACCAAAAGAACTGAGTTGTTGGTGGGTCTAATTCATAAAAGCCAATACATGTCCTCAAAAGGGATGAGCTAGAAATTGGCTATTTGGTTCCTTGAATTTTATTAACAATATGCTGGACTCAGAGTAATCAGGTTTTCTGAACCTCAATTTGTTTAGCCAGCATATCCTTAATTGAGGTTTTGAATACGGTGGACTTTGAAGTATTTGAGTTCTATTTTATTATCATTTTCAAATTGTGAAAGACTGATTAATGTGGATATGCTTCTTAATAATTATTAACATGAGCAACATTTTTGGATTTAAATCATTTATTGTTGTCCAACATATTTAGTGTGTTTTAATATACCAACTAATGCTGCAAGTGAAGAGGCAGCTGAGGTAACCAACTTTAACTAATCATCGTCAATCAGCTGTGCGTGCGACTTAATCCTTAAATGCTGATAACCTTGCTTACTTGAGTGAAAATTATTCTGTTGCTTGACAAAATATTGAACTAATCTTGAACATCCTTTACTTGATGGTATCCTAGCTCTTCACAGTTACTTAGCGATATGTTAATATTTTTTTTTATCTGGATTCGGGACAAGAATTCCTTGTAACTTAGGAGCCTACACACACTCACACACAAATGTATTTAGATTGCAATGATAAGTAGTAATTGCATTTCGAAGTAGGATTAAGATAGCTAGATCCATGCCTATATGTTTTGCATACAGTTGTCTTGCATGGCTTGGTGATATATTTGATGTTGGGAGTGAAAAAAGAATGTCTGTGGGTCTATAAAAAGTGCCCCTATGTATCAAAAGAATGACACTAGTTACATCAGACACTTTTTGCCTGTACAAAAACAAAGAAAGTACTTCCATTCTGATGGCTGAATATATATTCCTCAAGATCAGGGATGTATTCTACAAAAACCTTGGCAAAAAGATAAAGGTGAAAGGAAATAGAGATATAGTTTGAATATTGTGTCTTTACTACATTGAATGCAGAAATGTTTTACAGCAGCAGTGTATGTTTTGAGTAATATATATGCATAATGAGCATGCAATGATAGATCCGATGGCAATGAGTTCTATTTGAACCCAGCTGGAACTTTTGACCTTTCAATAGTTGAGTTGCTTTTTTGGCCTCGTAAATGTAAGTGGCCAGTGATCACTGAGATCATATTCGTTTTGATTGATAAAGAGAGACTTGAAGGAAGATGCCCTAAAACATGTAAAGAACTTTATTATTCAGTTTTACTTATGATTAGAGCTGCAACTAAGATAAAGAAAGCCTGTTTAATTCATTGTTGATGTATTTTAATTATGTGTTCAAGTTTTATGCCATTAGGTTATGGCGATGGAATTGATAGGAACAATGTATCATCTGAGGAAGAGGTTGATGTTAATAACAACTTCATAGATCCCCAAGCTGAAGACAGGGAGCTTAAAGGGCAGCTATTGCGCAAGTACAGTGGATATTTGGGTAGTTTGAAGCAGGAGTTCATGAAGAAAAGGAAGAAAGGGAAGCTCCCTAAAGAAGCCAGGCAACAGTTGCTAGATTGGTGGAGTCGACATTACAAATGGCCTTATCCATCGGTATAATGTCATACATTTTTCTTTCTATACATCGGAATACGTATGCGCACATTTTCTCATGGGGAATTAGATTAATTATCTTCATACACGTGGTCAATGCAGGAATCACAGAAACTAGCTCTTGCAGAATCAACGGGGCTGGACCAGAAGCAGATAAACAACTGGTTCATCAACCAAAGGAAGCGACATTGGAAGCCGTCAGAGGATATGCAGTTTGTGGTGATGGATGCTAGCCACCAAGGCCACTATTACATGGACAGTGTCATGGGAAATCCATTTCCAATGGATATCTCTCCCACATTGCTCTGAACTAAGATGACAAGCAATTAGTATGCTGCTAATTATATATATTTAAATGTGTTATTGAGGAATGCCGGTACATTTCTTAACAACTTAACTATTAATTCCTTTTGACTATGGATTGTGATTAATGTCACACAATCATGCATGTGTACGTGCGTGCTACTATGTATGTCGTATAAAATCTCACTTAATTTAATTGTTAACCAATATAAATAGTGGGTTCTTATCTTCTCAATGTGCATTTATTGACTTTGTAAATGTAGAATTATCAGAGAGGCGAGCCATACGGTTTACTTCCAACAACATCGATATTGTCTCTAACTTGGTAATTATTACCTACACAATCCGTCAGGTGGGGTTTTATCACAAAATACCTCGGTATTAGTTGCTTTTATTTTCTCATTGGTACAGTTGATGTGGGATATTTCCACACGTCTCTTCACGTGCGACCTAATTAGTGGGTCACACGTAGAAGATCCATACATTGACAATCGTGTGGAGTCAAGAGAACTCATCCTACAAGTGGGGTTAAGGGATCCACCATCATCGTGCGGGGCCAAGGGATCCACCCATCACGTGGTACGGTACGGGGCTGCTCCCTGGCTCTGATACCATGCTAATTAAGGCTTATTTTAGGGTTTTAATTTCTTGATATCATTCTTCTCACCAAGGAGGAAAATATATAATGTCACGTGGTAGTACAGTATAGGCCTGCTCTCTGGCTCTGATACCATGCTAATTAAGACTTATTTTAGGGTTTTAATTTCTTGATATCATTCTTCTCACCAAGGAGGAAAATATATAATGTACAAGAGTGTTTTACAAGGAAAGAAACATCAAATAACCTAATTACAATCTGATTGTGGTGGAGGTAGTGTATTGTTCGTCTACAATTCAAAATGAGTCCATAATTGATTGTTCTTCGTAAATGCACGCCCTTCAAGATCCATACGCACAGAGTTACCCGCTCGGCCTTGAGTGGTCAACAATGCCACTCCGAGCAGCGGCACGACCACCTTTACCTCCTATTGTAAACACGTGGCTTGATTGGTGATTGAGTATGGCTTGATTGGTGATTGAGTAGGTCTGCTTCTAAAGCTTTGTTCTATAAAGTTATCAATCTTTTCACGTATCATTGACAATCGAGAAGTACTTTATGTTGCTCAGTTGGACCAAGCTAGTGAGCTGTCAATTCTAGTCATGCCCTTCTTCTAATTTCATTGGGCCATGTGCTTCTTATTCTTCTTTGGGTTTTAATTTTCATTGGGTCTTTCATAGCCTTTTTCCAGCTCGGACTATTTTAAGGATCGAAAAGAACTCTATATTAACAACTTTCAAATAAGTCGTAAGTAATCAATTGTAAAAGTATTTTTAAATAAATTTTGAAAAGAAAAAGCCAGTGGTAACAACACTAGGATTTTAAATAAAAGTATCTATGAGTGAAAGTGTCTTCTATATGAGAACTACGAAAGAGTGGAAAATTACTTCTCAAAAAAAAAAAAAAAAAAAAATCCTGTAGTCCAGCCTACAAAGAGTACTTGGGCTTCATAAAATATAAGCCCACTACGTACGTGGGTAATAATAAGCCCAGCCCATATCTGCTCATTTGTCTATCCGAATACAAAGAATTTGGGGTTTTGGAAAATTGGGGTTTTTCGTTTTACATTTTCAGAACCGGACCTGGCTCCGGCTACCTTACTCTCTCTCTCTCTCTCTCTCTCTCTCTCACTCGCCTCCTTCGGCAGCGCCCTCCGGTTGGAGGATCGACGGCCGCAAGTCTCCGATCGCATTTCGAATTGGGTACTTCTCTCTTCTTTGTTTTCTTCAAGTTCTTCCAGCTTTTGGGCACTATTTTTTAGTATGCGTTTTCAATTCTGTATATAGATGAACACTGGTTGAACAATTTAGGTTAGTGTTTGTCACTGTTTCCTCAGCTGCTAAAGTTATCTTTTTGTTTTGGGCATTTTATCGAACACCTCGAAAGCATTCAAATTATGATAGAAAAAAATGGTTTGTAATGATTGTCTGTATTGTGGGATAGGATGAGACATTGTAATATTACATTCGTGCATTTAAGAATGAGAGCCCGAGTTCGACAGCGAAGTGAATTTCGTTATGAATTTATGTTGGTGTAAACATCAATTTAGGGTCTAAAGGTGTGTGTTTTTGTAGTAAGAAGACTGAGAAAGCTGATTTGTGGATGCAGATAACCTGTTGAAAATTATTTGGCATGGCTTTGTTGGTGTCCAGAAGGCTTTTGCGTACTTTTGGGTCTGTATTAGCATCGGGCCGCTGTGACTCTCCAAGTAATTTATATCCATCATCATTTCGTGCTTCTCTCGGTAAGTACGTGTACATGTCTGTTATAGACTTCCATGGAAGGAATTGAAAGCATTATTAGTTTTTCCAACCTTTATTTTGGTTCTTGAACAGATTTTTGCGGCCATGTTCCCGGGGTTATCTTACTTTCTGGAGAATTGTCAACTGTTTCCAAGGTATTCCTTGCATCATATATATTTACATTCCTCCACACCCTATTTTTTTTTTTATATCGGAAAAAAGAAGAATATGGTGAAAGTTGAGCTATATCATATGAATCAGTGCAGCATTTTCATATGCTCAATAAGGTGATTTATTGGCTTCTTTGCTTTCTGTATATGTGGCAACTCAATAATTAACTCCTATTTTTTGTATCTCTATATATAGGCTGGATCATTTTTTCTAGCAAATCGAAGGCTTTCAACCTCCAACCCAACTCCCGAATCAAGTGGAGGTGCCTTTCCCTCTAATTTATTGTCAGCAAGGCCCGTCGATGCATCAGACCGTTCTATAGGTACGAGGAAAGGTCAAAGCATTGCATGTTTTGAGGTTTATGTTACCTAGAAAATCATTATAAATATTGGAATGCGTTCATTAATTGTTATACAGTGAGTTTGAGCTGAATTGTTATACGGTGAGTGTGTGTGTGTGTGTATTCTATGCATATCAAGAACAATCCTATAGTTCCGATAGATATCTCACCCAGTTACTAGTTGACCTAAGAGTGTACTATGGACCTATGGTTCATGTATACTAATTCGAACTCGAACATTACTCTTCCTGGAGTCCCGTAGTTTGTAGCACTGAAATTTTTTCATTTGTCTTATGTGCTAAGAGGGACACATTTATGTAGTCATAGTCTTGCAGTAAATTGAGACACTGTTAGTTTGTGGTAAAACTTACATATTACTTTACCAGGTTTACATGTAGGTATGGTTTATTAATGTTATCTATCAAAACTGGACGTTTACTGTAGAACTGTTTGAGTGATTTTGTGTATTGTATTATAGGACTTGGTCAAGACCTTGTGATTCCAGTGACAAATTTTCATTATGAAGATAAAGGCTTCACAGTTTTGGCTGGTGATGTTTTCGATGTACCTATTAGGAAGGATATTATTCATCGGGTTGTACTATGGCAGCTAGCAAAACGGCAACAGGTATTTACGTATCTGTACACTTAGGCATTGACACCTCAAGCATGTAAGGCTGGCACTAATGGCGGTTGTGCCACTTGACACTTGAAAGTAGACGGGCTTTCATTTTTGTTTTGGTGGGGGGCATGTCATAGGCTTAGATATTGTTGTTATCCAAGTTTAAATTTTTCATACAATGTTGGCGGGACTATACACAAATGAAAGTGAGGAAGAAGAGAAAAAAACTTATGATTGTTGATTGGTTTACAGGGAACACATTCAACAAAAACAATTAGTGAGGTTAGTGGGACTGGCAGAAAGCCATGGAATCAGAAGGGTACTGGTCGAGCAAGGCACGGAACATTACGTGGCCCCCAGGTACTTGTTTATCATGCTTTTGAATTAGCATGTTTCCTGATTTTCATTATGCCTTTAAGATGGTTTTGCTAATGAATTTAGTGGGTGTTAACAGTTCCGAGGAGGATGCACAATGCATGGTCCTAAGCCACGAAGCCATGAATTTAAGCTGAATAAGAAGGTTCGGCGTCTAGGACTAAAGATTGCTCTGACAGCTCGGGCAGCAGAGGGAAAGGCAATTCTCTCTTTTCCTCCCCCCCACTTCCCCCCCCCCAAAAAAAAAAAAAAAAAAAATCCTTCTCTCCACACACAAACACTCCTCCCCTTGCTTTGTTGTGCCGTGTGTGTGGCTGAATTATATTAATTAAATTTTTAATTTTTTTTTCTTATATGGAACTTAACAAGTGAAACTGTACGAAAACTACAGCTTCTGGTTTTTGAAGATTTTGAGGTCCCTACGCATAAAACCAAGAATATTGTGAACTACGTCCAACAAATGGAGGGCTCCAAGAAATTTCTGCTGGTGGATGGTACCAAAACTGAGGATGGTAAACAAATGTTACCTGAAAAGCTCAAGTTGGCTACACAAAATTTGCATTACGTGAACGTGCTGCCTGCAGTAGTGAGTTGCTCTTTCTGATCCTTACTAAGTGTTGTATTATAGCTACTAGCTAGCAATTTCTATGCAACCTGAGATGCCATTCCACATAGACACTTTGTTCTAGAAAGTAGTGGGCTTCTTAATTCATTAGCAATGGCTTAGATAGAAACTAGCTGACAAACGCTTACATTGTTGAAGATGTTTGATTCACAAAACTAGAAGTAAACAATCAAAACAGCGCTCTCAAGTTTTATAGATACATGAAACCGGCTGCCATGTAAGTTTGGTTTGAACTCAGTACTTGTGTATTTCAACTTTTGCAGGGTTTGAACGTCTACAGCATCCTGCAGCATGACACACTGGTGATGACCCAAGCTGCTGTAAATGAAATTGTCGAGCGGATGCACACCCCAATCAACCGTTGATGCAGTACCTACTTGTCTACTCCACTTCATCACTTACAGCTCAGATAGGACCCGGCTTTTGTTTTTTGATGGAGCTAAAACAACGCCAACACTTTTAGCTGAAAAATAATGTGCGGTTTTTTCATAACAGTATGCAAATCAAATTCAGTGATCGACACTTTGAGTGAATTCTATCTGTGTCTAGGTTAACTTCACCTCAAAATTTTGTGGTTGGAAATGAGTGAGGTTTAGAGGACATTCATTCCCATGGCTGTTAAAATGTTGTACACCTTTACTGTTGTGGAGGTAAAGTTACTTTATGGGGTCGCAATTATTTTAGAAAATGTCTCCAAATTTAGTAAATGACGTTGGATTTCTCTGTTGGGTTATCATGCCTGCAAGAGATCGATTAAAAAACATGGCTTAGCTATACTTGATTAAAATTTGGAAAAAAAATGCAACGGTTTAGTAGGATTATTATTCACTTTTAAGTAAGAGGGGTTAGGTTTGACTTTTACAATTTGAATCATTTTATTACTAACATATTGTAAGATTAAGTTCAACCCCTCTACATTAGCATAAATAATATTATTTGTTAAAAAAAAATCCAAAACAGTAAGCCCTCGCTAGTGATTTACAAGTAGGCTAAATAGCCAAAATGGTTCCTGAGATTTGCATAACACATCACTTTAGTCTTTGAGATTGAAAATCAATAGAAATGGTCCCTGAAATTGTCCACCATCCATCATTTTTGGTCATTCCGTTAAAAACTCCGTTAAATGTCCCAGAGCTCTTGGCCTAAAGTTTGGGCAATTTTCAAAACTTCGTAACTCAATTGTTTCTCAACCAAATTCGACTCATAATATATCAAAATAAAGATAGGAAAGTGTATAACAATATTATACCATTTGAAAACTCAATGATTGCCGGAGATGGCCGAAAAATAGCCTCAAAGTTGACTGGTCCGCGAAAAAACTGGAAAAATCGCTAGAAACTGGGTAAATTTTAACATTCATAACTTCTTCAATACTCAACGAAATCGAGTGATTCAAAAACGAAAATCATACTTCCCGACAAGACGAAGAGAATGGTACCTTTCTAGATGGCTAATTCACTGTGGTATTGCCGAAAAACGGCTCGAAAGTGGCTCATTATTTTTCAAGTTAGTCACTTTCAAGCCTTTTTCCAACCAAACTTCAATGAATTAGCAGTCGAGAAAGGTACCATTTTCTTCGTCTCATCGAGAAGTATGATTTTTGTTTTTGAATCACTCGATTTCGTTAAGTATTAAAGAAGGTAAGAACGTTTAAAGTTTACCGAACTTCCAGTGAGTTTTCCAGTTTTCATGCGGACTAGTTAACTTTGAGGCTATTTTCCGACCATATCCAGCAACCATTGGGCTTTCAAATAATTATAATCTTGTTTTACACTTTCCTATCTTCATTTTGATGTATTATGAGTCGAATCTGGTTAAGAAAAAATTGAGTTATGAAACTTTGAAAATTGTCTAAACTTCATGCCAAAAGCTTCGGGACATTTAACGGAATGACCAAAATAATGTATGGTGGACAATCTCAGAGACCATTTCTATTGATTTTCAATTTCAGAGACCAAAGTGATGTGTTATGTATATCTTAGTAACTATTTTGGCTATTTAGCTTTTACAAGTATTATTCAACCCAATTTCCCAAAAATTCCTAATCACAAGAACAATTGAAAAAAATTAAAAATTATTGGAGAGGCGTGGAAAGCAACGGATCCAGACGTTAACGCCAGAATTTAAGAGGGGAGTTATGAGACAGAGAGAGACCCATAAAGGTCAAGCGTCACAGTCACTTGTATACTGTCTCTCTCTCGTCTTCATGAGAAGAAGGATCTAGGGTTTCTCTGCATGAATTCTCCCTCCCAAATGTCCAAAAGTTTAGGGCTTTGAAATCAAACCACTTTCCGCCACTGAAATTGCTTCAAAGTTCCCACATTTTCCACCACCAAAGCTTCCCAGAAAAGACCCATATGGCCAAAACCAGACCAGGAAAAAAGGAGTCAAGGGACGCGGACTCTTACACTATTAGGGGCACCAACAAAATCGTCAGAGGTAACAAAAACCCAAAACAAAAATCAAATCTTTTTGCTAATTTCCAAAAAAGTGAAAAAAATAATTGTCGGATTGTTCAATTTTTGCTGGAACGCTAATTGGGTTGAGGAAATTTGGTGATTTTGCAGCTGGGGATACAGTCCTGATGCGCCCGTCGGACACCGGAAAGCCGCCATACGTGGCGCGCATCGAGAAGATCGAAGGTGAAAGCCGGGGCGGCATGAAAGTGAGAGTGAGGTGGTATTACAGGCCGGAGGAGTCGATTGGAGGGCGGAGGCAATTCCACGGATCCAAAGAGTTGTTCTTGTCTGACCACTATGATGTGCAGAGCGCTCACACCATTGAAGGCAAGTGTACGGTGCACTCCTTCAAGAACTACACGAAGCTGGAGAATGTTGGAGCTGAGGATTACTACTGTAGATTTGAGTACAAAGCTGCTACTGGAGCGTTCTCGCCCGACCGAGTTGCTGTGTGAGTGTAATTTGTGCTTGTTTTCGGTTTTAGTGGAAATGTAGTAATATATGGATGGGATTTGATGGATTGGTTTTGTGTGTTTTGAAGGTATTGCAAGTGTGAGATGCCATATAATCCGGATGACCTCATGGTGCAATGTGAGGAGTGCAAGGACTGGTAATTTCTTCATTTTTCCATCATATTATCTTGGCGATTCGTAAATTGTATTTGCTGAACAGAATGTGCTTCAAATATTTATTAAAATTTGTACCTAAAGGAGAGTGAGAAAAGAAGCATTTAAGAGGCTAAATCTATACTGGATCCCGAAATTGCGGTCTCAGAACACTGGTTAGCATATATGCAAACTGCATAGAAGTTTGGATTTGAATGATCATTTGATGATGTTTTCTTCTCCCTCCTGGCGGCTTTGAGTTGCATACTTCTGTGAGTTATCACTGTAATTTGCCTTAACCAACTCAAAATTTGCGCTGTACGAAGGTTGGTTTTCATATGTTTGTTTAGTTAGAAGTTGATTGTTCACATTCATGCTTGAGAATTGGTTTCTGAAATTCAACTTAGTACTCTGGTAATTTTATATTTGAGTCTTATTCAGATGAACTTTTGGTCGTTTTTGCAACATTATTAAGTCTCCCCTTTATACATTTTAATATCCTGATACATACACGGATGTTACCATCGGACTTGTAGGTACCATCCTGCTTGTGTGGGAATGACTATTGTGGAAGCAAAAAAACTGGAAAGCTTTTTGTGTTCCGAGTGTTTAGCTGAAGAGGACGAGAAAAATCCCCAGAATGCAGTTCCAGCAGCTGTTGCGGAGGTGTGATTTCATATAATGGAGTTTTAGATGACTATAGACAAGGCTGAATGACAAATTATAAATTAATAATGGTTTCACATGTTCATTGTATATTTTACGATCAATGATGCTTGCTTTCGTCACGGAAGTTTATTGTCCATTCTCCTTGTTATTCACCGGTTGTTTTTCTGTTCAAAAACTGTTGTACGTTAAAAGTAGAGTGGTCTTCTTATTCATTCTACACTCTATATATCAAATTATGTTATATTAATTCCGACAAATGTGTAATCTGAATTCATAACCTTTTGCAGCTCGAGCCCAAGCGCCAGAAGAAATAACATCCTTAGCAAGCATCGGTTTGCTAGGAGCCGAGATGCTATGTCTGCCGTTTGGGCTGTACAGTAGGATATCAGGAGCTTAACGTTTTGGTTACATATTATGACCTTAGTTTGATTTAGGCTATATGCACCAGCTTCATTTTCAGGAAATTGGTCATGTAATTTTAACAAAACAGAATTGAGTTCGAACCTTGTTCTCTTTCTCGACAATCAATGAATCGTTTCCTTCCAAAAATTGTGGCTTCGTAATTTTAATTATCAACGCATGAATCTGATTTTGCTTGTTCTCTTCATCGTGGTGGTCGGATAGCTTTTTGTATGTTTAAGTTGCGGGAATTGCATCATGGCAGCTGCAGATAATAATGCACAGTGAAATGTTACAGCAGATTTCTGGTTTGATAGCTGCTTTTCGAACCTGGTAGATGGTTTCCATTATATACAGTTGCCAAACATGTTCTCTTGGTCATCAAGTGACCAAAGAATGTGTGGGTCACTCACCAGTGTGTGGCCATGAATCTTTAGTCACTAGGTGACCAAAAGAACATGATTCATACGGTCACACGCCCTATTCCTCTGGACGATACTAAAGCTCCTAGACTTTGTTGATTGTGAACCAGAAACTAGCTTTTCTTCTTGCTTTTACCCTTCTTCCCTCCCTCTCCGCCGGAAAATAACGAACTCATCAAGGTTGTTTGGTGTGAGAGGGCATGAACACGCTCACGTAAACTTTCAATTACAAACTGAATTAAACGAAAGATAACGATTTAGTCCAAAAAGCAGGCTGGTTTTCCTCTTAAAGAAAGCTCTATTCACATTAATAGTGCAGTTAACCATTGATTGTTTGCATGGCAGATATGGCAACTTCTTCATGTTTTAAATTTGTGAAGGTTACAAGTAAATTTCTGTTCATAATTCCTAAACTGCAGAATCATATATATGGAAAACATCTAACAGCACAATTAATTACCATTAAACCGAACGAATCAACACCATAATCCCCAACATATTTCTCTGTTTGTGCTGCAACCATGGCAGGAAGGGCCAGTGTATTGCCTCCAATATTTTTCCTGGCGATTATTGTTTCTGTCGGGTTCGTTACTTTTGCGGAAGAGCGAGCCTTGTACATGGTTTTGATGGAAGGAGACCCGGTCGCATTCCATGGAGGTTCTCGAATATCATCTCGTGAAGACAGAAGGCGTCTTGATCCAAACAGGTGGGACGGGGATCACAAAACTTGTCTTATTTTATTTTCATGCATATGCAGTCCGGCTCTGTGCAGGATATATTGTCTTTCTTGAAGACGTGATACGTTTAGAAAAAGATTCTCCGTGCAGAACGTCATGTTTTTAAAGAAAGATAGGACGTCCTGTACAAAAATTCTCTCTCTATATGTGTGTGTGTGTTTACGATGATAATTGCTGATTATGATCTTAATTATCTATGGTTTGATGCATGGATATCGTTAGTGAAGTTTTCAAGGCCCATGCAAAGCGTTTGGTGGATTCTCATGACCAACTTCTACAGAGTGCTTTAGAGACTGGAAGCTACAGCAAGCTTTACAGCTTTAAACATATTGTAAATGGCTTTGCTGTCCATACCACCCCTTCCCAGGTCCACTGCCACTATGCATATTTTTTTTATTCAAGCAGCGATATTCTAATATAATTTAAGTTATTGAGCGGGAGATTTCGAACTTGGATGCAAGGGGGAAGCACACTTCACGTGTTGAATAATAGAAATTTGGATTTTGGACGTTGTTTTTTAGCGAGGGTCCAATAACTTTCAATTTACAACTTCGGTCCAATATGTAAATGTAGGCGTAGCACCACATTGGTTGGAGCGTATATGCTGCCCCTAGCCCTATTCACTAAGTTCGAGTCTCACTCCCCGTAATTTAATTTGGTTTAAAGAAATTATTGCTTATATATAAAATGCAGTTCAATACTTCTTGGATATAGACTTATCATTTAACTATGTATTTGATGATGAACATTACAGGCTGAGAAGCTCAAAGCCGCTGCAGGAGTGAAGTTAGTTGAGAGAGACAGAGGAGCAAAGTTGATGACAACGTACACTCCTGAATTCCTTGGACTACCCCAAGGAGCATGGACACACGATGGAGGAGATGATCGTAGCGCCGGCGAGGGAATCGTGATTGGTTTTGTGGATTCAGGCATCAACCCCACACACCCCAGTTTTGCTTATGATCCCCTGCACCCTTTCACCGGAAATATCTCTCATTTTTTGGGATCTTGCGAAACGGGTCCTCGATTCCCTGCAAGTTCATGCAATGAGAAGATAGTCTTGGCAAAGTTCTTCTCAGCTGGGGCTGAAGCTGCTGCCACTCTTAACTCTACAGTGGATTTTCTTTCACCCTTTGATGCAGTTGGTCATGGAAGTCACGTGGCATCAACCGCTGCGGGTAATGCTGGAGTTCCAGTGGTTGTGAATGGTTACTACTATGGAGAAGCAAGTGGGATGGCACCACGGGCGCGGTATGCTTTGTCTATTGCTTAAATTGCAGCAATGTCAAGATTCCAGAATTCTCACATTTCTGGCTTCTTTGAGTTGTGACTTTGTTTTTTCGTCTCAGAATTGCGATGTATAAAGCTGTGTATCCTACAGTGGGAACTTTAACTGATGTGGTTTCAGCGATCGATCAAGTAAGATTTGTAATTTGGCAGATTCTTCGAGTTAACTTGTCATCCAAGTTTGAACCGAAATAGTGAAAACCTTCTTTTGGTGTGTGGTGTGTTTTCGTTTGTGACGACAGGCAATTCTGGATGGAGTGGACATCCTAACACTCTCCGTAGGGCCAGATGAACCGCCCGAAGACACGGTTACCTTCTTAAGCGCGTACGATATTGCCATGTTATCTGCTCGAAGAGCAGGGGTATTCGTGGTGCAAGCAACAGGTAATCAAGGGCCAGGTATTTCGAGCGTAGTGTCTTACAGCCCTTGGGCTGTAGGTGTCGCTTCATCTGGCACAGATAGAACTTATCCGGGTTCTATTCTTCTCGGAAACGGCACAAAAATCGAAGGTGTGGGATTATCAGGTACTAATATCGTAACTTCAACAACATTTTAACTAGACCGAGTTCAACTTCATCCATAATTTTTTCATGAATGATTATCTTTATCGATTTTAGGACCGACTTTTGGATATGGTTTACTTCTGCATAAGTTGGTTTTGGCAAAGGATGCAGTGAAGGCAGATGGGACTTTCCCAAGGACTCCGCCTTATGTCGAAGAGTGCCAATATCCAGAAGCATTGGATCACAATGTAGTACTAGGTAGCATCGTCATCTGCACCTTCTCGGATGGATTCTACAACGGAACATCCACCCTCACCGCCATCATCAACACTGCAAAAGGTCTAGGGTTTATGGGTTTTATGCTTGTTGCAAGTCCGGTCTACGGTGATTTCATTGCAGAACCTATTCCTTTTGTTGTTCCCGGCATTTTGGTCCCTAATTTAACCAATTCTCAGGTAGCTACGTTAAAAATATATCATATTTTCCATGAGCCTTGGCCTATCCAGAATTAGCAGAAAATTCTTTCAATAACTGACAATAAATTATAGGTTATATTACAATATTATGAACGAGAAACACACAAGGAGGAGAAAGGATTTGCTACTCGATTCGCAGCAAAAGCAGCTATCGGAGAAGGAAGAGTTGCTTCTTTCATGGGACAAGCGCCCGTTGTAAGCAGATTCTCTTCGAGGGGACCAGATTTTGTAAACACTTCCAGGACTCCTTGTGATGTATTAAAGCCGGATATTCTTGCCCCAGGGCACCAAATTTGGGCAGCTTGGAGTCCCGTTAGCGCCTCAGAACCCGCTTTAACAGGTGATAAGAAGATGCAAGCCTGCAGCAATCTTCTGCGTTATTTCGGTAATACCTTGATATACAAGCAAGTAATTAACAAACTTTGGTGATTTTGTTGTTTAGGGTACAGTTTTGCATTACAATCTGGTACAAGCATGGCAACACCTCATGTGGCGGGAATAGCAGCACTCGTCAAGCAGTACAATCCTTCATGGACTCCATCCATGATTGCGTCCGCGATTTCCACCACTGCCACAAAGTACGACAAAAATGGGGAACTTATCATGGCGGAAGGATCTGGCATAGGCAGTACATATCCTTCCAGCCATTTTGATTTCGGAGCTGGACTAGTCAGTCCAAGTCGAGCCCTGGATCCAGGCCTAGTCTTACCTACCGGATATGAAGATTATATCAGCTTCTTGTGCTCATTGCCTGAAATCAGTCCAGCTGCAGTTAGAAATGCAACTGGTGAACCGTGCAATAACACGCTTGACCATCCGGCCAATTTGAACCTGCCTTCGATAACAATATCGGCATTGAGGGGGTCTCAAATCGTCCGACGGATTTTCAATAACGTGGGGAGCAAGCCAGAGACTTATGTTTGCTCTGCGGTGTCACCTAATGGGACAATAGTAGATCTGTGTCCAACTTGGTTTAGGATTGCTCCTGAAGGCATCCAAGAACTGCATATACAAGTTAAAGTGACGCAAGCGATGGATGATTTTACATTTGGTGAAATTGTTCTTACTGGAAGTTTAAATCATATTGTCAGGATACCCTTATCGGTATTTCCCGTTTCGATATCGAACTGATGAGAAGTTTTAGCTTTCACAACTCTGATAAATGGAATTGAATGAATAAAATTATGATTGGATCAATGGTTAGAATACAAATCATGATGAATTTACATATTACAATTGAATCAGCAACAAGAGGAGCGCTCATGCAGGGCCACCTCCGGTTGTTTGTCCTGGCCGTTCAGATTAAAGGGAGGATTATACGTACCCTTCAGGACTAGTCAGATATCCGAATGCCGCAAGTTGTCGGGAAAAGCATGACACAACTCTAGGAAACAATAGTCAGGAGGTTATTGTCATGTTGCACATACACTCGTCGCACCGTGGATATCTATACATACTCCTCGCCTAGGCCTTGGTTGGATATGTTTAGTTTGTCTAACTGCCTTTCGAATTCTCTGCTCGAAAACACGCCATTCGATAGTGGAATTCTTCATAAAAATGCTCGCAAGCCTGCGTTTGTTTGGTCGTATTGTTGGCATTTTCCCTCCACCATAGTATATTCGAAAACCTGACACCAAGGATGATAACTGACTTCCTGAATCGGTCATGGCAAATGCATCGGCAGCGGTGCAGCCTATGAAGTCCAGTGCTGCTAACTACAGAAGGAGCTGACTTAGGCATGTAAAAGCGGCAGTAAAACCGAAACGTACAAATAATCTAAACATTTACAGCATCTCATTACCTGGGATGAAAAATTCATGAAAGGTTCGAGTTCAGTCTGTGTGAGCAAATTTTCTTTGGTCACTAATTTCGGATACAGGCTAGTCAAAGCAATCATCCTTGATCTCCCTCCATATATCTGTGAACCTGCCACAAATACATGAGTCTTCCTGTTGAAACCAAGAGCAGCAAGCATAAGTACTGCTTCTTCAGGTGTTAAGGGACATAAGCCTTCTTCCCTGAGCTCTGCAGGAGTAGGCAGCCTGAAACAAGTAAAAAAAATCGATAAGATGGTAAAACTCAATCTCTTTGATCCGCTAAAAAAGTAAAAAGTACGTATAAAGTGGTCAGTGTAAGAACGGGAACTCTTAAAGCAAATGTTCTCTCAGTCTACCATTAATTATCATGAACTATCACACAAAAAAAAAGCACCAATCAAATGATATACTGCTTACGTTGCAGTCTTCTTGAGAAGTGTCAATGCGGGGAAATGGATTTCACGATACACTTCCAACTCTTTTCTCTCTTCCTCACCTCCACCAAACTCACACAAAGAATGAGCTACCATGTCAATTTCAAACCTCAGGTGTAAGGCTAGATATCTGGAAGCTTTCTTAGCACGACTTTTAGTCTGTTTCTTGACTGGTTCTGCAAATGAACCAACAAGATAACGATCAAGTGGTCCAGGGTGACTTTCATTTTGACGCAGTCTTTGAAGAAGTAAAGCACCAACTTCTTGTATCTTGGGGATAAATTGAAGGGCATGAAAATTACATCTGCATCGAAGTCTCTATATGAAGTTCCCCAATTAGGAATAGTGGAAATGAAGAGCCGTAAGCAAGCAAGCAAGTGAAAAGTGTGAGGAAGACCAGAATCGCTTAGGGTGTCAGAGCTTATTGTGTACCTGCAACTGAAATGGTATTGGATCAAATGCCAACCGATGCCCAAATCCAAGAAAATGTACAACTCCATTCTTAAGTAGAATGGGGATGATGTGTTTGAAGTAAAAACTTGGCTTTGCCTCTTTGGGGATGTCCACATCTGTCACCTGGAATGAATTGTAAAAGGAATTAGAAAGAAACTCATAGTGAAGCAAACACTTTAATTGATAAGAATATTTAATTTCGCTGAGGGACTTACAACACTACCAATTGCTTCCAAATCTAATGACTGTAGCTCGTTTGGGAGTTCCTTCACTATCCGAATATCAGGCGACAAGTACTTAATAAAATGCTCCTCCTGATAGATATCGCCGAACTGACTATGAAATCATACAGTTTCTTATCATTATGTTCAAAGGCAAAAAAAAAAAAAGGAGAATAAAAGACACAAAAACAAATAATTAGAAAGCAAGATGTTACTACCATCAACACATGATCAGTATATGATGAAGGGTAAACGATGAAACATCACAAAACATCAAAGCCAGTAATTAAAAAGTTATTTCAAACGAGAAGAAAAAAAAATGACTAACGCAAAATGATAATGGAGCCAGAAATTTGTATATCGTATCCAACAGGCCAAAAAAGCAGCCCCAACAACCCTCGGACCCTGCTTAGGTTCTAAATCCGGAAGTTAAATGCAGGTCTTTTTTATGGCAGAAACAACATCAACCATATGGCAAACGAAAAAAAAGGAAAATTCTTGAGCGGAGAAAAGGAAAAGTATGTCACCTCACATCTCTCCATATACTACTATACAAAAACTTGGGAACAACCAGAGTTGAATTGAGTAATCGTGCAACAGCGACAGCATTGCAAACCTGTAGCCAAACAAAATAACGAGTAGGTAATAACAATCGAACTCGCAGAAACATAAAGCCTCATAGAACCACATCCTATATTTACGTTTCCAAAGATACGATGACTTAAGGCAAGTATCACTTACAGCTACTCGCTGCTGGTTCATCCCACCGTTTGCAGTGACCAAAATGTATCCATTCTTTCCCTCTATAAGGTACCACAGAGAAGTTGATATTAGAGCTAGCTTACTCCATTAACAAACTAAATTGAGTATCGTTTGAAATTTTAAAATGCAAGAAGAAAGGACTACCATTAGGTTCCCAGTTCCGTTGGTCGGCACAAGGTTTCCAAGAAACAGAAGGAACCAATGGCTCCAGCCACAGATCTTTCGGCTCAGGTTTACTCTGCCCCTGCATCATTCAATGTACCCACATCGAGTGATTAGAACGAAATCTCATCAATTAACTAAACTCAGATTCCAGTTAACCAGAGAAGAGAGTACCTCTGCCAATGCATGGGCAGCCAAAGCCAGCATCCTTCCATAGTTACCTTTCTGTGCCTTTTTTACTTTACCAATTTTTCTCCATTTCGCCTGAAAACATACAAAAAAGGAAAAATCTTAGGACACATCTGGTAACCTTTCAAATTCGGTTCTGTGTTCTTATTTCAAATCGAAGTTTGAAGCTTTCACTTCAAGCGGACGTGCATCCCAATGCACCCAAGTTCAAGTCCCCCTATGCACAGTTTTAAAAATAAAATATCGCTCGTATGAAAATAAAAAGTTTGGAACTTCGCTTCTCCCGTTTAGATTAGTTTAAAGTAAAATATGTCAGAGGAAAAAGTTCAAAACTTTGGCATCTGACAACATACCGGAATGGTGACGGAGTCCGACGGCAGAGACGAATTCCCAGGAAACCCAGATTCAGAACGGATCCCATGATCTTGAAGCCGCAAAAGCATAACCCAATTCATCAAGAAGTAAAATACCAACAATCCAATCACCCCCACAATCCCCTTCACTCGCTTTTTAATATACCAAGCCCTCTCAGCTCCTACCTTCCTGGCGGAGGTCCTCCTCTGCATCTTCGGCACCCAATCCGGCGGCGCCTCCGCGGTGGAAAACCGAGTGAGGCCGTTTCCAGGCGAGTTAGTCGGGGATGAAGGGCGGCTCCGGGGAGTGGAGGAGCCGGACCGGTAATGCAGAAAAGCGGGGCTGGGACAGGCGGAGGAGGAGGTGGTGGGGTCGAGGGGCTGAGCTGAGGTGGGTCCATCTTCTTCTGGTGGGACGGGTTCAATTTGAACTATGTTTACGGACATCGATTTGTGTGCTGTCGGGCCGTCTGGATTTGGACCCTCCTCAACAGAACAGCTGAGACCTGAGGGAGAAACGCGGCGATTTCGGGTCGGAAGCTGCTAAAAATAGATGTCGGAATCTGCCAAAAAGGGTAGGGCGGAGATGGGACTGGAATTTGCGGGACTTGTCTGAGTTACAACGAGGACTTGACGTTTTTTTTTATTTTTTATTATTTTTGTCTGTATATAGAAGGATTCTCTGCCGTGGGATTTAGGACGACCGATTTCAATTGGCCAATCAAATCCGTCCATTTTAAAGTTAATTTTGTATCAAAAATTAAAATTACTTATCCAACACGCAACCATTCCTGCCTACAAGTAACAATAACATGTCAACCATAATTTGACAGTGGATCCGTAATTGATTTGGACCTAAAAAGATCATGCTTTTGTGACCAACAATTTCGCATTTCAGACGATTTGACTTTGGAATTTAAATGGCGGATTCAAAATCAACAAGGCGAGAATTCGGAAGTAAATGTTTATTGTACGCAATCTAATTTTTATTTTGTAAAAAAACAGTTTTCATGACTTGAAATTATAATCTTTCGGTTACCAAGGAGCAACATTTTCGTGAGTTTAGAATTTAAATGGCTTCCACGACTTGAAATTGTAACCTTTCGGTTACAAAAGAGCAACAATTTGGCATTTCGCAGACAATTGGCCAGGCCCTTTATGCAAAATGATCTTTATTTTTTTCAAAAAATGAAATTAGGTATAGGGCTCATTTTACATCAAAATTTAACAATTTAAACCTTCTATTTTGTAAGTCTCGATTCATAGATCATCTTTGCAAAAATTCAATTCAATCCGATACCATTTGCTTATTTAATTATTAAGATAAAATTTCATTGTTTCTTATATAACAAAGTATTCGTTAATTTCTTTGAACCCAATTAGATGTCTTAAACATTTCCGATTTGACTAATATTTTGTAAGGATGATCTATGAGATGTAACTTGAAAAATAGACGGTTCAGATTGTTAAAATTTGATGTAGTGTAGACCCCATAACTAATCCCTATTTTTAAAATTAAAAAAAAAAAATTAAAAATTAAAAAGGGATCCCTTCCCTTAAAGATTTCCTCTAAATGGCCGACCCAAAATCAACAAGGCTTCCTTGCTCAACGAGGATCCGATAGTGAATGTTTATCGTACGCAATCTGGCCTTACTTTGCAAATAGACTATTTCCACGAATTGAACTTGTAACTTTTCGGTCACAAAAGAGCAACATTTCCGTGAGTTTAGAATTTAAATGGCTTCGGAAGCTAAA